TTCATTAAAAATATTTTATAGGTGCATTTAGGCTTTTGGGATATCTCTCCACTATACCTCCCAAAAGACTTGTAATTACCTTCTTCTGACTCAGTCAGATGGTCTAGGTACTATCACAAAACAACTGGTTCCCCACCTGTTTATTCCACAGTGAAACCTATCATTTAACAATTCTTACAAACACACAGAAACTTACAGATAGCATTTCAGTGCCTCATTCACTAGGTTTTTTGTTAAGAGAAAATAGTGTAATAAATACCCATTAAAACAAATTACCAAGCATATGTGTTTCATCTGTCCTTTTTTGTTTATTTTGTTTCCTGAAGTAATTAAGGCAAATCCAAGAGTGCATGCTGTTTTCATCCCTATATACTTCAGTGTGCTGTGCCATTTTCTTATATAACAATATTATTATTATGCCCTAATTAGCAGTAGTCCCTTGGTTTTATCTAAATCCCAGTTCATAATCAAATTTTCTCAGTTCTAAAATGTTTTAGTTTATTTGCTTGAATCTGATTCTATACAATGTCCACATGTCACATTTGATTGTCACTTTTCTTCTTTTTTTAAAAATCTAGAACCAACCCCCTTTCTCCCTTTGTCATAATTAACTTGTTGTAGAAACTGAATAAATTATCCTTTGAATGTCTCATTTATAAATATGAATAGACAACAAAAAATCTTCAGATTTTTATATGGCTATAATTTTATTAATTTTTTTAAAGTTTTTTTCTTCTTTATTGACATTAGAGGGAGAGAGAGATAGAAACATTGATGAGAGGGAACATCAATTGGCTGCCTCCTGCATGCCACCCATTGGGGATCTGGCCCACAACCTGGGCATGTGCCCTGAATGGGAATCGAACTGGCGACCTTTTGGTACATGGGTCGATGCTCAACCACTGAGCCACACCGTCCAGGCAATTTTATTTTACTTCAGTTCTTTAAATTTTATTTTTCAGTTACATTTGACATTAAATACAGTCAGCCCTCATTTGTCACAGTTCCAGGCTCTACTGTGATAAATGAATTTCCGTGAAGTAGGATTCTTTATACACAGTTGTCCCTCGCCACTTTGTGCTTCGACTTCTATGGGTTCACTCTATCACGGTTTTTTCAAATACAGTATAGTATAGTATTCGAAAAAACCATGATAAAGTGAAGCTGCGGAAGTCAAAGCACAAAGTGGCGAGGGACGACTGTATTATTTTATATTAGTTTCAGGTGTACAGCATAGTGGTTGGAGAGCCATAAAATTTACAAAGTGATCCTCCTTTAGTTCAAGTACGCACCTGGCACCATATATAGTTATTATGATATTATTGACTATACCCCCTATGCTGTCCTTTACATCCCCATGACTATTTGTAACTACCAGTTTGTACTTCTTAATCCTTTCACTTTTTTCACCTGGCCCAGCAACCCCCTCCCTTCTGGCAACTATCTATCTGTTCTCTGTGTCTATGATTCTGTTTTAATTTTGTTTGTTCATTTATTTTGTTCATATGGTATTTGTATTTCTATGTCTGGTTAATTTCACTTAGTATAGTACCCTATAGATCCATCCATGTTGTTGCAGATGGTTAAGAGTTCATTCTTTTTTGTAGCCAAGTAATATTCCCTTGTATATATGTACCAGTACTTTTTTATCTACCTGTCTATTTATGGGCACTTGGATTGCTTCCATAACTTGGCTATTGTAAATAACTCTGCAGTGAATTTAGAGGTGCATTTATTTTTTCAAATTAGTGTTTTGGGTTTCTTCGGGTATATACCCAGAAGTGGAATTGCTGGATTGTAAGGCAGTTCCATTTAAAATATTTAGAGGAACTTCCATATTGTTTTCCATAGTGGCTGCACCAATTTGCATTTCCACTAACAGTATACAATGGTGGTTTTTTCTCCATGTCTTCGCCAACACTTGTTTGTTGATTTATTGATGATACCATTCTGATAGGTGTGAGATAATATCTCACTCTGGTTTTAATTTTCATTTCTCTGATGATTAGTGATAATGAACATATTTTCATGTCTGTTGGCCATCTCCATATCCTCATTGGAAGTGTCTATTCAGGTCCTCTGTCCATTTCTCTGGACCACGGGCAGACGCTCTAACCGCTGAGCCAAACCGGCCAGGGCCTCTGTCCATTTCTAAATTGGTTTGTTTGTTTCTTGGTGTTGAGTTGTATGAATTCTTTATAGATTTTGGATATTAACCCCTTATCAGATGTATCACTGGAGAATATCTTCTCTCATTTACTAGGTTGTCTTTTCATTTTGTTGATGGTTTTCTTTGCTGTGCAAAAACTTTTTAGTTTGATATAGTTCATTTGTTCAGTTTTTCTTTTGTTTGTGATATATCAGAAAAAAAATATTGCTAAGAGAAATGTCAGAGTTTACTGCCTATGTTTTCTTCTAGGAGTTTTATGGTTTTGAGTCTTACATTTTTAAGAGAAGACTCAAGCGAAAGACAACAAGGAAAACAAAGGGGAAAAAACAATGTGATGAGCTGAAGAAAACTTAAAAAATACACTATACTTGATATCTTAAAAATGATAAGAAAATTGTATTCATGGAACAAGAATAAGGGGTAGTAAAAATAATTGTTATTAAAATATGATAGCTAACATTTAAAAATTCAGGCAGGCTGGAAAATAATAAAAGTGTAACAAAATGTCAAAATTGGTAAATGGCAAAGAAAGGTTAAGAAAATCAGAAGATATCTCCAGGAGAGTTCACATCTAAAACAATAGAAAAATACTCCAAAAAAGAAAACAGAGAAGATGAAGAGGGAGGAAATCATTTCCCCTAGCAGAAAATTCTTGGAACTAAAGAACATCATTTTTCAAAGCAAATAACATGTGCCAGCAGGAGAGAATGACAAAAAGCTAACATGATGATATACTGTGATCAAATTTATGATACAAAGTAAAGGAGAAAAAATTTTAAATCTTCTGAATCGAGGTGGGCATGGTACAGGGAGGACCTACCACGTATCATATAAAGAAACAGCAATTAAAATGTGCTTGGACTTCTCAGAAGCAGCACTGGAAGTTAGGAAACAGTAGAAGTGCCCTAATTTTCTATTGAAGCATATTTTTCTCATTTGTGATTCTAAATCCAGCCAAAATGTCCAGTCTGAGATTAAATAAAGATAATTTCAATTATTCAGGGTCTCAATTTACCTCCCATGCACAGAAAGACCCTGGAGGACTTATTCTACCCCAAACAAGTAAACCAAGAAGGAAGACTTTACAACCAGAATACAGATCTGACATGAAAAAGAACTGAGCATAGTCCCTGGAATAATAAGGAAGGGGAGTCCCGGGATGACAGCTGCATAGTCAAAGCAGAGCATAACCAAGACTGAAGCAGGGGAACTGAGAGCTCTAGGCAGGCTGTCTCCTGGCAAAGAAATGATATGTAAGGATTACCTTCTGTGTCTGAAGGTACTGAGTGAGGACAATTAGACCTGTCAGATTCCAAAAAAGTATCAGTGATAGGTACACAGAGAACTAAGAAAGAAGAAGAGGAGGTAGTTTTTAATCCAGGGACAACAAAAAGAAGTTGTACAAGAAAAGCCATTTGATCATGGCATAACATGTGGCTCACTAGTGGAGAATAATGTAATTACTGAATATAAATATTGATTCCTATTGGGAGGATGAGGAAGGAATGCTGTGTGTGTGTGTAAGTGTGTAAATGTGTGTAGGAAGGTCAGCTTTTATTAGGATAGTGGTAGAGACTGCTGGCTGCCTACCCTAACATTCATTCTCCCTTCCTCCTTAGTAATAGAACTGTGGATATATATCTGGGGACTAACTAATCTTTCCAGTTAAAAGACTACATTTCCCAGGATCACTTGCAGCTAGGTATTACCATGTGTCTAAGATTAGCGGAAGTACTCAGTGGTATTTCCAGGAAATCTTAAAAGGCATAGAGTGAGCCATCATTCTATTCCTGCTGCTGGTATGGAATGGCAAAGTAATTGATGGAGTTTCTGCCATTATCATGGTCTATGAAAATAAAAGACACATATCAAAGATGTAGAACAGAGAGTTGGAAGTATGCCCAGGCCTTGATGACATTATAAAGCTATCATATCAAGATTAAACTGGCTACCAGTACATTTGTTTTGTGAGATAATATACCTTTGTATCTTTTTTTAAAAAATGTTTTTCCTTTATTGATTTTAGAGAGAGAGAAAGGGAGAGGGAGAGAGAGAGAAACATCGATGAGTGAGAACGTTGATTGACCGCCTCCTGCATGCCCCGCACTGGTGATCAGGCCCACAACCTGGGCATGTGCTCTGACCGGGAATCGAACCAGAGACCTCTTGGTGCATGGGTCGACACTCAACCACTGAACCACACTGGTCGGGCTACCTTTGTATCTTAAGCCATCATATCCAGGTCTCAGCTGTATGTAGCAGAACCAGATCCTAACTGATTTGCCATTCACCAGATAATATCTAAAATGAAATATTAATAATAGTACAAGCATGTTATTTAGTAATATAGAGGTAAATACTATAAACAGGGAAAAAGTTGAAAGTAGTTGGTTTGAGCAGTGGGAGTAGGGGTAAAGGCAAATGATCACTATTTTTTCTTTATAACTCTTAATCCAATAACAGTTCACATTTTAAATTATGTATGTCTTACTCTAATAAAAATAAATTGATTTAAATTAGTATTTCAAGTAAAAATACTTGTTCATTGTAAAAATTCAAACAGTACAACAGATAGAGTCAAAGTTATGCCTCCCTTCAATATTCTTTGCCTTTCCCCTGCCCATAAGTTTTACTGTCCTCCCCAGGGGTAATGGCTGTTTGATATGTGTCTCTCCATACTTTTTCTGTACACTCATTTGGCATATATAGAAATGCATACTGTTCTTCTTTTATTTATTTTTATTAAAAGTGTATTTAAATATTAATTTGAGCAAATACTCATGAGGGAATATTTAGGCTTGTAATGGATGTTGTTTGTTTATATTTTTAGAATCCAAGCTGGAAGCATGCAGTTAAAAAGTCAGCAAAATGAAATTCAGAGACTACAGAAAGAATTGAGTAATTTGCAACATGAATTAAAAATTAAACAGAGACAATCACAAGTCTTCAGGTAAGATAATCTTTAATTAATTGAAAATTATAAAGATTGAAAAGATATATTTAATACTAACTTTATAAACATCCAAAAACATTGTAGTAGTCTGGTTTTTATATTTGTTATGGTTGAAAAATGTGATAATAACTTCACTTTTTTTCCTTTTCTTTACTGATAATAGAGAGAGAGAGGGGAAGTGAGAGGGAGAGAGAGACAGAAACATTGATAAGAGAGAACATACATTGGCCGCCTCCTGCATGCCCCCCATTGAGGATCAGGCCCACAACCTGGGCATGTGCCCTGACCGGGAATCGAACCGGTGACCTCTTGTTAATGGATCAATGTCAACCACTGAGGCACACTGTCCGGGCCACTTTTTTTTTTTTTAACCATTATTGCAATTGAATAGTTTTACCAATAAAATTTAAATCAGGCAAACATTGTTCTCATTTTGCAGTGACATTTACATGGAAAACACAGTAACTAATACATTTCCCCTCTTGACCAGTATTTCTTGGTGTATTTGATCCCCTGACACACAAAAAAATAATAGAATTGGGAAACTTTCTAAATATAGTAATAAAACTGCTAAATTTAGAAATCTTCAACATATATGGTGTTATTTCTGCTTTTATATAATCTTTGGAAGGTTTATAATACCTAAAGATAAAATCCAATGTTCTAAAGAAACAAAAAAAGTACATTTCTAATTCTAAAAAGGGAATTGAATATATAGAAAATATTAGAAAGAATGCATTTTTAAATTGAGTAACTTTTAACTCTTAGAAATGGGAAATAAGTTAAATAAACATTACAAATAGACATAGTTCAGGGTGACTAAAAAATATGCTGGATGAATATTTTAAACATTAGATTTTTTTTTTCCAATCTACTACTTATTGCCAGAAATATTGTTCTGTTAAAAAAAATCATCTGAGCTAATAATTTTTAAAAAATTGTTTGCGTCCTACATGCTCCCCAATCAAACTGCATCCTGGGTATGTGTTCTGACTGGGAATCAAACCTGCCACCTTTTGATATACAGGATGATCCTCCAGCCAACTGAGCCACACCAGCTAGGGCTGGACTAATACTTTTTTTTACACCATCTGGTGATAACCTTCTGGCCATTTGTCTTTTGTAAATGCCTTGCACATACGCGATGCTCAAGAAAGAACCTTTGAATAAATAAATGAATCTACTCACAAAACAGATGACCATTTTTGTCCTCAGAAATCTCTGCTGTTTCCTAGAAATTTGGTATTGAGCCAGCAGGTGAACCACCATTTTAGTAAAGATGCTCAGTATTCAAGCTTGGCTCCTACAATAAGCTTTGGCCTAAGTGTGCTAAGTTATCTATTTAGTTTTAGAAGATTCCTATTATGACTCTTTTATATGTTGTTGGAAATATAAAGTACTTATCCTTGCCTGGCCGGTGTGGCTCAGTGGTTGAGCGTCAACTCATGCACCAAGAAGTTACTGATTCAATTCCTGTTCAGGGCACATGCCCAGGTTGTGGGCCAAATTCCCAGTGAGGAGCATGCAGGGGGCAGCCAATTGTTCTCTCTCATTGATGTTTCTATCTCTCTCTCCTTCTCCCTTCCTTTCTCTCTCAAATCAATAAAGAAAAAATTAATAAATAAAGTACTTATCCTTTAATTTTTATTATTTGTAAATCTATCTAGACTCTTATTTATCATCCCTGAAATTTTCCATGCCAACTCCCCAAAAATCTCTCCTTCAAGCTCTCTTATACTTTCACTCAGCTCTTCAGCCTCATTAAGGATTCCTGTGTTTTCTCTGATTTTTCCCAACCATTTTTTGGCTTTACTATGTTTTCTAGCCTTGACCCATAGTTAAATTACCTGACTTTTTAAAAAAGAGCTTTATTGAGAAATAATTACATACTATAAAATCCACCCATTTTAAGTGGCAATGCAGTGAGTTTTAGTAAACTTACTGAGTTGTGCAACCTTTACCACATTCAGTGTCAGAACATTTGTGTCATCCCACGAAGGTCTTCATGCCATTTGATTTAATCTTGCTCTTACCACAGTCCTAGGCAACCTTTTTTTTGTTTCTGTAAATTTGTATTTTTCTGGACATTTCAGATATATGGAATCATATAATGTATGGTCTTTTACATCAGGCTTCTATTACTATATTTTTGAGGTTCATTCATGTTGTATCATGCATCAGCACTTGTTTCTTTTTATTGCTTAATACTTTTCATTGTGTGAATATACCAGAGTTTACTCATCCGTTTACCAGTTGATGGACTTTCGGATTGTTGCCATTTGACACTTATGAATAATGCTACTCTTAACATCCACGTACAAGTCTTTGTGTGGATGTATGTTTTATTTCTCTTGGGTTAATCCCTAAGTGTGGCATTACTGAATCATACGGTAAATTTAAATTTAACTTTCTAAGAAACTGCGAAACTATTTCCCATGTGGCTGCACCATTTTATATTCCCACAAGGAATGAGGATTATAGTTTCTTTGAATTCTTGCCAACACTTTATTGTCTGTCTTTTTATTGTAACCATTCTAGTGGGTGTGGCATGGTATTTCATTGTGGCTGTGGTTTGTGTTTCCCAAATAATCAATCATGGTGAGCACCTTTTTATGTGCTTATCAACGATTTGCATGATTATTTGGTGAAATATCCATTAAAATATTTTTCCTAGTTTTTTATTGGTTTGTTTTCTTATTATAGGATTGTAAGAGTTCTTTATGTCTTGGGTGACATCCTTTATTTGAAGTATGATTTGTAAATATTTTTTCCCAGTCTATGGCTTATGTTTTCATTTTTGTAACAATCTCTTTTGATGAGTAGAAGTTATTTTTAATAAAAAAAAGTTATCAATGTTTTCTTTAATGGATTGTGTTTTTGATAATGTGTCTAAGAACTCTAACTAACCAAAGGTCACAAAAATTTTCTCCTGTATTTTTCTCTGAAAGTTCTACAATTTTAGCTCTTACATTTAGGTCTATGATCCATTTTCAGTGAACACTTGTGAATGATGTGTGGTAAGGATCTCAATTCATTTTTTTTCATGTGGATGTTCAGTTGTTCCAGCATCATTTGTTAAAAAGACTATTCTTTCCCTATTGAATTGACTTGGTGACTTTACCTAAAATAAATGCACTATGAATGTAGGGAATTATTTCTGGACTTTATTTTATTCCATTAATCTATATGTCTTATGTCAGTACCACACTCTCTTGAATACTGTAGTTCTTAGTAAATTTTGAAATCAAGAAATATAAGTCCTCCAACTTTTTGTTTTCAAGATTATTTTAGCTATTCTGGGTCCCTTGCATTTCCATATACATTTTAGGTATGTTGATTTTTGCAATATAGCATGCCAGGATTTTGATAGGTATAGCATTGAATCTGACGATCAATTTGGGGAGAACTGCCGTCTTAAAAATATTGAATCTTTCAACTCATGAACATGGTATGTCTTTCTACCAAGATCTTTAGTTCTCTGAGAAATGTTTTGTTTTTAGTATACAAGTCTGCACTCCTTTTACTAAATTTATTTCTAAGTATTTTATTCTCTTTGATGTGATTATGAGAGTTTGTTTTCTTTACTTTATTTTTGGGGTTGGCCATTGCTGTTATATGGACATAAATTGATTTTTGGATATGGATCATGTATGCATGTGAATTTGATGAACCCATTTATTAGTTCTAGTGTGTGTGTGTGTGTGTATAGTATGTTTCTGTATAGAGGATATTTCTGCCTAGAGAAGTTTACCAATACTCCAACTCCTTTTACCTCAGCTTGTTTAGCTGCAATTACCCTTAAAGCCTTCAGTCTTCATACCTATGCATAGATTGTTAAACACCAGGCCCTTAGTTTCTCCAATACTATTCTAAATTTTCGTTATTCTGTTTAGACTTCCCTGTGCTACTCATCTCTCAGCAGCTGTGGGTCTTGCCTCATATTTCACAGAGAAAATTAAGGATATCAACACAGACAGATTTACTGTGAAGCAAATGCTGTTTAAGTTTCAGAACCCCTCACTCAGAATCCCCTTCCAAGGAGGGCCCCTGGCAAAAGTAAGATAGTTTGATAGTAATTGGTTAAAAATTCTGTCTTTTTCTACCCTGATTTCTTTTCTTATACTTCTGATGTCAATATGCCATTGGAGTAGTCATAAGCATTTGGGGGAATCTGAGTAAGGGAAGGATAAGTTGGGAATACAATGTTAAAACGGCCACTTAGACATTTTAGAATGTTTCAATAACACAGTTAAGGAATTACAGACTAAAAATTTGGATGTGCATGATTTTCTTTTTTATAATCCTCACCTGAGGATATTTTTCCATTTATCTTCAGATAGAGCTGGGGGGTACTGAACCGCAACCGAGGTATGTGCCCTTGACGGGAATCAAACCAAATCCAACTGCTGAGCCAAACTGGCCAGGGCAAGGATGTGTGTGAATTTTTAAAAATTAATGGGCTAAAAGCAATAAAGATGAGCAATTTAAGCAATAGAAATTATTCTGGCATAAACAAATTATAATGATTTTTTTCATATTACATCACAAGCAAATTAAGAGAGACATTTTCAATAAGAGTTCTTAGATTATTGCATAATCCATTCAATCAAGAGGAGTTAATTATTTAAATACTTTGGAGAAATATTTAAGTTTCTTGCTGATTTATCAAAAACTACTAAATTACTGAATATAATATAGAAGTCATATTATACCACTTCAAGGACATCTAAGATACACTGGTTCATGAGTTTCAAAGATAATTTAAGATTAGTCATTTTCCAAAAAAAACTTGAAATGTCAAAACTATCATTATTGTATATGAAAAAAAATTATAAGGATTTTTCCAAATTTGACACCACTATTTATATGACATTATCAATAATGAGTTATGAAGCTGAAAGAATGTTTCTAAACTATCAATAATAAAAAAACTAGCCCTGGCCGGTTTGGCTCAGTGGTTAGAGTGTTGGCCTGCGGTCTGAAGAGACCTGGGTTCGGTTCCCGCTAGGGGCATGTACTTCGATTGTAGTTTGTCCCCGGCCCTGGTTGGGTCGTGCGGGTGGCAGCCACTCGATGTGTCCCTTCACGTCGATGTTTCTCTGTCTGTCTCCCTCTCTATCCCTCCCACTCTGTTTGAACAAAAACTGGAGAAAATTTCTCGGTTGAGGATAAAACAAACCAAACCAAACCAACCAAACAAAAAAAACCTAATGACCATGCTAGATGAAAATTTATATAATCTTTATATTTTCTTATAAAATATTATTATAAAATGGCCTTCATGTGAAGAGGTGCTTATAGAGAATGTAGCCAAAAATTAAAAGGCAACAGTATGTAGAGCTGTTACTTATTAAAAAGTTATATTGTTTTCTTACATTTTGTGATATTGATGGAATTTATCAACTTTAAAAGTCTTATTTTAAATTTAATGATTTTTCTCATTCTATAAACCTAATTTTGTAAGTCATCATTTTTGTATGCTTTTTTTCAAGAAAGCCCTCCCCCCCCAATCACATAAGATTTAGGCCTCACAGAAATGGGTCTGTTCTTAACTAAAAAGGTTGAATTTTCTGTTTCCTGCCTTTCTTCCTACAGAGGCACCTGCATCCCCATCCAGTCTATTCTGTCGAGTATCACTCTAGGCCGTGTACATGGCTTGCTTCTAGCTGCTTCCTTACTCCAGGCCTATTAGCCCCTTAACCTTGACTTGGGCATAGCTCTTGTGTGCCTGTCCTGCCAGTTTTTGGCTCCACATTAGACTTCTCATCCTCACATCTGGCCTTCTTCAGTTAGTGATCTATTTGGACTCTTTCTCTGCTGTTTTGAAATTAACATCTCTCCTAGGTCTCAGCTCTACCTTCTGATTGAGGCATCCTATGGCTTCTGATCACTCAGGTGGGCCTTAATTACTACCCAGAATGACACCACCCCTCTTCTTCCTGGCAAAGGCTAATCTCAGCCTCTGCTTTACATTCGTCCTTTCTAGAACTTTGCACAAGAAATGAGCACATCTCTTGCCTGTGTTTATCCTCTGTGACTGTACTCATACTGTGTCCAGCTGTGTGCACACGTTCAGGTGTCTCCCATCCTAGCAAACCATTCTGCTCGGTATCGTCCTCTTTCTGTTCCTGCTGCCTCAGTCAGTGTTCTCAATTGTCGGTACTACATAACCCCCTATTTACTCACTTCTGCTTTACTGCTCAGTGCTTTCCTACCTAATGCCTCTCTCGGAGGTCACCAAATACCCCTTTAATACCAGATACAATGAACTCTGTTCAGCTTTTATCCCGGACCTCAAACACTGACCACTACTTTCTTCTTTAAATTCTCTTGTCCCCTGACTTTTCTGATAGTATTATTTTGGTTTTTCTTCTAACTCACTGGCTATACCTCTCTAGTCTCTTTGAGGGATCCTTTTCTCTTTTAGTCCCATAAATGTTAATGTTGTCCAGTGTTTTATCCTCAGCACTTTTTACTTCTTCATTCCTCTAAGTGTTCTATTTTTTCATTCATTTGTCAATATTTGCTGAGCACATACTGTGCTAGGTGCTAGGGAGATTGTGATGAACAAGACAGATATATATAGTGTCTGCACCATAGATCTTAGTCTACTCATGGAGGTAAATATTAACCAAAATAATTACAGCCCCATGGCTCACTCATCATCTTTGTGGTGATAACTCCCAGGTCTGTGTCTGCATCTTGCTTGAATATTAGGTAAATTATAGCTAGCATATCTGAAATAAATAAAAAAATCACTGTGATTACTTTGAGCTGTGGCATTTCATGAAGCAAGAGCACTGAATTAGTCATTTTCAAAGGTTTTATTTATTATTACCCTAGGTTTTAAACGGCCTGTAGCACCATGCATGCAGAAAGAATGCTATCTAAGAATCTGACATTCTCATTTAGGCTCTGTGACTAAGCCACTTTTGACCTAATTTTTTTTGCTAAATGTTTGCTGTTAAATTAATTTTAAAAGATTAATAGAATAATTGTGTATAAAAATAGCTATCTTTCTTTATAATTAAAATGATAACACAAATGGAAATGAATGAGGATAACCATGTACCACAGACTTTCTGGGATATTTCCAGTTTATATTCTGTCATCTCAGCAAAATACAAATAGTACCTCTTCCATTTTAAAAATTATCTCCATTTAGACAGTAGGTTATATGGTCACTCTAAAACCATTTTTTCAAAGAAAACTTTTTTTTTTCAAAGAAATATTTGTTATGCTTGCTATTTTTAAAAATTCTACTTTTTTTTTTTTTTTTTTTTTTTTTACTACCTTACAGCCAAAGATTGATGGAGTACAAATATTTCTGGAATAAGACTCTTTCATTACTTACTTTTACTAAAAGGGAAATAACCAGTATTAAAAATGAAGTATATGATCATTTTCAAAACTGGACATCACTGAAAGGAGAACTTTTTCTTCAAATTAAATCCATAAGTGAAACAGCCTTAACAGGTTTGTTACATACATATAGAATGTAACTGTCTTTTTTCTTTGTAAACAGTACATCATAATTAATGAACTAATAATATTTCACTGTATATGATGGGACTTATGATTAACTTTCAACCTTTTATTGGTTGACAGACTAGATGGTCATTATGATCTATTGAAACCCTGAAATTCAACAAATAAAGGCTAAGATAAGCTATGATACATCTGTTCTTGAGCTATGGCCAGAAGTCTGGTTATTCTTGTTAAATTTACCAATTTGTATTTTAAAACTTTTTTCTGTTAATGGCTGAGTGGTTCATATTAGGTCAGGCTTCCCACAGATAACAATGATAAATTAGAGACAAATAATTACCTAAAAACACTGTAGAGTGACCAAAACCAGGCAAATATGGAGAGAATGTCAAAATTTGAGAGAGGGCATATCACTAAGTGAAAGAAACCAATCTAAAAGTCTATGCTATAAGATTCTAGCTTAATGCATTCTGGAAAAGGCAAAACTGTGGAAATGGAAAAGGGATCTGTGGTTGCCAAGATTGGAGGAAAGGATGAATAAATAGGTAGAACACAAAGGATTTTTAGGGCAGTGAATATTTTGTATGATACGATAATGGTGGTTACATGTCATTATACATTGGTCAAAACCCATAGAATGTACAACACCAAGAGGGAATCCTATTGTAAACTGGATTTTGGGTGATAATAATATGTCACTGTAGGTTCATTGATGATAAGAAATTTACTACTCTGGTACAGGATGTTGATGGTGGGGGAGATTATGCATGTATTGGGGCAGGGATTATATGGGAATTCTCTACTTTCTGCTTAATCTTGTGATGAACCTAAACTTATCTAAAAACAAGTATATTAAATTTTTTTTTTGTTTTTTTTTAGTTAAAGGTGATGCCATTGAAATAGTTTTCTGATTTATTTTTGTTTTTTTGTTTGGGCTTTTGCAGCTAGTAGATGGAGGGCAAGGTACGGCATGTTCCATGCAGTGAAACTAAAACTCTGATAGAAATCTGTAGTCTTTTTGGCTTGAAAACTGGAGGGCAGAAATCATGGTAGCCCAGCCTCTGAGAAGTAAGAGGATGCCCCAGAAAGGACACAGAGAGGAAGAACTCAGATTTTGTACATAAACACTTTTCAAATTTCTGTTTTATTCCTGAAATACTTCTGCGCAGGGAATACTTTAAGCCAGCTATTTTCATTCGGTGTGCCACAAGAATTTTTACAACATGCAGTACCTGACTATTTAGTCAGGGCATTGACCTCTTTTCCCTTAGAATGTCAAATAAAAAAATGACAACTGCCAACACACTAATAGCCATCTGGTATGAATGAATCAAAATTATGCCTATTTTTTGGGTCATACCAGCAAAAAATATGTCTTTTTGTGTGTCACAAAATTTTAGTAATTGCTTTCTGTGTGCCATGAGATGAAAAAGGTTGAAAATAGCTGCTGTAAGCATCTCACCTAAGGTGAAAGTGAATGATATTTTAGCTACCACCTACCCTACTGGAGATAAATTTTACAGTGTAAATTCAGCCAAATTAACTGCTTATTAAAACAAGACAGTATAGCCCTGGCCAGTTTGGCTCAGCGGTTGAGCGTCGGCCTGCGGACCAGAGAGTCCTGGGTTCGGTTTCCGCTAAGGGCACGTACCATCAAAACAAAACAAAACAAAAAAAAACACAAAACAACACAGTATACAAAATCAATACTCTTTAGAGAAACATAACAGGACCCAGAATCTTCATAACATAACATCCACAATATGCATTATACAATCCAAATTACTTCATCTGGGAAGAAACAGGAAAATATGACCCATACTTAAAAGAATGGATAGTCAACAGAGACCAATCTTGAGTTGACCCAGATTATATAATTAGCTGACCAGGATTTCAAATCAGCTGTTAAATGACATAAAGCTGTTCAATGATCTAAAGGAAAGTAAGATAGTAATGAATGAAAAGGTAGAAAAATTCTCAGCAAGAAATTACTAAAATTGGAAATTCAAGAATTGAAAAATGTAATACCTGAAAATAAAAGTGTACTGGATAGACTTTTATAACATATTGCAATTGAAGAAAAAAGAACTTGAAAATAGGTCAATAGAGCCCAGCTAGTGTGGCTCAGTGGTTGAGCATCGACCCATGCACCACGTGGTCACTGGTTTGATTCCAAGTAGGGCACATGCCCAGGTTGTGGGCCAAATGCCTAGAGGGGGGTGTGCAAGAGGTGGCTAGTTGATGTTCTCTCTCATTGATGTTTCTCTCTCTCCTTCTCCCTTTGTCTCTAAAAATCAATCAATAAAAAAACTTTTTAAAAAAGAAAATAGGTCAATAGAAATTATCTAATTTGGAGAGATAAAATAAACATTGAAAGAAAATGAACATAGCTCTAGGGTTTTCAGAAAGGATTAAAATGTACCACAAATGACAAATATGGGTAAATATAAAAGGCTTTTTCCTTTGAAGTTTTAAAAAATTCATATGCTCATTTAAAGTAAGAATTATAATATATTGTGGGAATTATAAACTATGTTGATTTCACTTATGACAACTGGAGCACAAAGGATGGCAGGAGCGGGTAAATAGATCCACATGGTTGCACTATTTTTGTATATTATGTGCTGTGGTGCAACATCCATTCTACGTAGACTAAAAAGTTAAGGATTTATAATTCTTAGAGCAACCACTGAAAAATAAGCACAAAAAGATATAGCTAAAAAGCTAATAAATAAATTAAAAGGTTACTCTTTTAAAAATGTTTAAACAATGGAGAATATCACCTGACTCTACTAAGATTTATTGTAAAGTTATAGTCATCAAGTCAGTATAATACTGGCCTATGGATCAACAATAAATCAATAGAACAAAATAACCTGGATTGTGGCCCCCATTTATATGATCATTATACTTTTGACAAATGCACCAAACAATCCAGTGGGGAAAAGTTTATCACTAAATTGTGCTAGAACAACCGAATACCCATATGGGAAAATATACCTGAACCCCTATATCACATAGTTCATAAAAATTAATTCAAGATAAACCATGGAACTAAATATAAAAGCTAAAAATATAAAAGAAGAAACATAGGAAAATCTTCATAAATTGGTAGTAAATAGAAGTTTTTTTGGATAGGACACAGAAGTAAACTACAGAAGAACAAAAATTGATAAGTTCAACTTCATCAAAATTAAAAATTTCTGCACATCCATTAAGACAGTGAATGGATATGAGAGAAAATATTCAAAAAACATGTGACCAAGGACTGCTCTTTGGATTAAAACACCCACAAGTCAATAATAAAAGACAAACAATCTAATAAAAAATGGCCAAAAGATTTGATCAGATACTTTACAAGGAAAGATAAACAAATGGCCAATAAGAATATGAAAATGTGCTCAACATTATTAGTCATGAGGGAAATGCAAATGTTATCAGTACATACCCACCAGACTGGTTAAAATGAAAAAGATGGACAACAATAAATGTTGGTGAGGAAGGAGAGCAACTGGAACTCTCTTACAAATTGATGAGAGTACGTATAAGGTGCTATAAACCACTTTGAAAAAAGATCTGATGTGTTTTATAAGACTAAAGATACATCTCTCTGATAACTGAAATTCTTCTTTTTGGTATTTATACCCCCTGAAAATGAAAACATATGTCCAAAAAAATACTTGCATAATTATTTAAAGTAGCCTTAAACTAGACAAACCCAGAAGTAAATCAGTACACTTGATTATCAAAAAACAAAACAAAAAAAACAAACCTGAATAAAAAATGAACTATGGAATGAATTGCAGATGATGCAGTTGCAGATGATGCAGTTAACTTGGATAAACCTAAAAAGGATTGTACTTCCTGAAAATTAGCCTTACACAAATAATGCATATTGTATGATTCCATTTATATGATGTTCTAGAATAGGCAAAACTAATCTACAGTGGAAAATAAATCAGAACGTTAGTTATCTTGGAGGGGAGGGTTGATTGGAAAAGGGGCACCAGGGCACTTTCTGTGGTGACGGTAATGCTCTCTGATAGGGGTTTGGATTACACAGTGGATGCATTTGTCAGAAAGTTTCTAATGGTACATTTGAGATTTGGGCATTTTATTGTAGGTAAATTATACTAAAAAATAAGATATTTATGTATTGAATGCTAATTATTGAGTATGCATGCTGAATGAAGTGTTTAGAAGTATATTGATGTGTGCAACTTATCTTGAAATACATAAAAATATTAAGACAGATAGGTGGATAGCTATGTGACAAAGCAAATATAGTGAAATGTTAATTGAAGAATCTATGAGGTTTGTATATTTGTGTTCATTGTATAATTCTTCTGACTTTTCTGTATGTTTTTAAGTTTTATAGTTAAATATTAGAAAACATAAATCATTCTAACCATACAGCTTTAATTTCCTAATTTTGTTATTTAATATATGCCTTCAGGAAATGAGTTTGTATATGACAATATCCTTTTAGATTTTTAAATTAATTTTAAGAATTAACAAATGAATTAAATTCAGACAAATACAGGTGAATAACAACCAAATTAACAATTTTTAATACTTTAACTTTTAAAAAAGAAAAATATACTTCAAATGTGTTTATACTTTAATATGTATGCATGTATGAATTATTTTTATTAGTTTTCCATTATATTTTAAATTTTACATAGATAGTATACTTGTAGATATACTGTGAACTTGCTTTTTAAATTCAGTGATTTTTCTAGATCAATATTAAAATACCTAAATATTACACATATCTTAGTTCTGTCAGAGGCAGACATTGAATCAAAGGTATGAGTACAGATAGTTTATTTGGAAAGTGCAAGTAACCCAGATGTAGGGAAGGGAAGGCTAGTATTGTAGTGGGCAACTGGGGCTTAATCTTGTGAGGGAACTCTGAGAAATGGTTTGAAACACATGCCTCAGAATCAACTCCCAAGACCCCAGGCGAAGGGCTACTCCCAAGCAGT